CTGCCCGCCCACCACACACCGCGAACCACACCGCCCACTCCATTGGCCCGCCTCTCACCGCCCACCGCCTAACACCCAACGCACATCGCTCCCTCCCACCGCCCAACACTCAACGCCTGCTGTCCTCACCAGCCGAACGCCATAGGTTCTCCTGAACAGACCCAGACAGAAGGAGCAGTGGAAGATGAAGGCAAATATACAAGTAGGCGATGAGGTGCGGTACGACCGTGAAGGGCTTTTCCAAGAGAATTGAGGTAAAGGGAGTTGTCGGGCTCCAAACAAGGAAGCAGTGTGAATTGCGGTGAGAGATGGAGTAGATGGAGGCAGGCAGGGTAGTGGGAAAGCGAAGGCAAATAACCAAGAACGCGATGTGCAGTTAGACCAGGAAGGGCTTTGAAGTGGAAGGGATAAGGGTAAAGGGCGTATGGGGCGCCAAGGATGTCCGCACTAAAGTGGGAGCTGGTGACGTGGGTTGGAGGGGTGGAGGAGACGGAGTGGAAGAATGCGAAGCGATAGCATGGGAGAAGATGATGTTGGGTAAGAATGGAGACGGCATTGCTGTCCAGGAGATGGAGGAAAAGGGGCAATGGATCTCCAAAACACCAAAGCAGTGGGCGTTGTTGAAATGTGGAAAGCGAGAACGACGTCGCACGTTGTAGCAAGCGGGGAAGTAACACGGATCAGATGAATCAGAGAGTGGGGAACTTAGTGGTGTGCGGGAGATGCGCAGCGCGACGGAGTGGGGCATGTAGGAGGCTGGGGCTCCACGGAGCAGTGGCAAGGGCGACAATGCGAAAGCCGAGGCGGCGATTGGGGTTGAGGGAACAGTGGAAGAAAGTGAGGTGACACAGAAAGAATTAGGAGGCAAATATGTAGGTAAAGAACGGAGAAGGCATTGCGGTAAAGGGAGTTGTCGGTGGCGGAGGTAAGTCGGGTTGTGAGGTGACAAGAAATTAGTGAAGGATTGGTTTTGAGTAGGGGGCGAATTTTGATGACTTGAAACTTCTCCAAAAATTATCCATAAAATTCCCTTAAGTGTTTTTAAAATGCCGCAAAAACAAATAAAAATGACGTAAAAAATGTGATCAAAATCAGTTCGGATGAACAACTCAAGCTGTTGGATGCGTTGCTGATGTAATCGAGACTTCTTCTACTCGTTCAAGTGAACTCATCATCTAAGCTTTTGGTTTGCACGGTTCTTTACCAGAAAAAAGTCTGTGTTTAGTGATCCTGCAATCGTCTGAATCGACATTGGAATTGATAATCTCAGGAAATTTGGATTAATACTCACAATGAATGACATTACAACTTCTGAGCGAATAAATCGAATAGGCGACCAGGTATAGGTGGTCCGCAATTCTGTTGAGAACATTTGTTGCAACTCGTAAATATTAGTACCATTAACATGATATTAAAATGAAGGCTATATCAGCAAAATACATTAAAAATGTCGAGAAAAGGTAAAAAGTGGCGCATTGGTCGAAATTGACGAAAAATGCTACAAATGGTGTATGAAAATGCGTCTTTTGTTATGACATAAAATGAATTTCTAGACTAAACGGCATGTTTTGAAAGTGAAAAGAAAAAATGACATTTCATTAAGATCCGCGCCTAGTTATGAATGGCTGTGAGGGATGGAAGAGTCGGAAGCAGAAAGGTGGCTGAAAAAATCATGTGTTCGGGAGTGTTTCTCTACAACGTATCATTTCGCATGTAGATATAAAGCGCTTCGTTAGCAAATAAATATTAATACTAACGATCTATGTCTCTCTCCGTCTCACGTTCACTTTCACTATCATTTCCCCTCTCCCCAATACACACGTGAAAGCTTTTCCTGCACAATGAGACGGCATTTTCACTAGCGGAAAGGGAGCCTAATCTTGCAAATCTATTCTTTTACGTGAAGCAGGGGTTGATGAGCAGGATGGGTCTCGATTGAGTTGAAGTTTTATCCCACTGCGAAAACAAGTACGGTCATCAGTCCCCTAAGTGCAGTACATGTTTTTTCCGGGAGCTGGATGACGATATCCCCATGGGTTTTCCACAACCAGGTATCTCCCACCAGCGGGACATACCCCGCCCAGCCGGCAGAATCTCTAAGCTCCCGATTCGTCTCCTTATGGGATAGTGAGGTGTAAGTGTGTATAAATAAGGTGTGAGGATAGGACAAGGAAGAGGAAGGAAATATCGAGCGCGATGCGTGGCCCGTGTGTTAGGGTACTGCTTCGGCATTCACCAGGTGTTGATCGGAGAAATCCCGGAAATCTAGATATCAGAGCAGCCGGCTGCTACAATTCTCTTCCGTACTTTGGCTGAATTCAACCTAGCTATGCAGCTAGTGTCTTAACTCCTGCCAGCGTCGGGAGTAGAATCCTAGGAGTTCCTAGCCAATTTGATGCAGTGACATCAATGCATGCCTTGAGTTTCCTAAGCTGGTCTCTATGGTGGGCGTTTGCCGTGTTGTTCCTGTTGAGGAAGGGCAAGTGTGCAGAGGTTGGCGCGCCGCGCGCAGTGGCGTCGGACCGGAAGCGCGGATGCAGGGCACAGGTGGGCGGGGGCGACATCGCGACCCCAGCTGGCAACCGGAAGCGGCCCAATCAAGGGTCGTAAAGCCGTGCAGAGGGGGCTGGGGCCACCGACGCGACGGGGCGGCAGCCGGCGAGCGGTGGGTGGAGGCGGGCACGCTGAGGGCGCCATGGGCTTCCGGGCGGCGGGGGCAGCGGAGGCCGCGGGGACGCGGGGGTGACGGGCGGCGGGGGCGGCGGGTAGCGCGAAGGCGACGGAGGTTGTGGGCGGCGGGGGCGCGAGGTCGCGGGCGGCGAGGGCGACGGCATGTGCGGGGCGGTGGGGCGTAGGCCGCGAGGACGAACGGCGCGGGCGGCGCGGCGCGCGGGTCGAGGCGGGGGTGCAGGGCGGCGGGGAGGCGGGCGGGGCGGCGGGCGCGGCGGGCCGGGGCGGCGGCCGGGGGGGGAGGCGGGGCGGGGGCGGCGCGGGCGCGGGGGCGGCGGGCGGCGGGGCGGCGGGCGGGGCGGGGGCGGCGGGCGGGCGAGACGACGGTGGCTGGCCGGGGCGGCGGCCGTCGGGGGCGTCGCGGGGCGGCGAGGGGCGGGGCGGGCCGGCGGCGGGTAGGGCGCGGCAGGCTGCGGGGCGGAGGGGGCGCGTCATCGACAGGCGCGGACTCTGGGCGCACTCGCCCCGGGAAGCTACTGAACGCGCCTGGAGCGGCCCGCTGGGAACGACGTGGCGGTTTTCCTTCAGGGTTCAACCGCAGCGTCCCTGACCGGGCGTCTTCGCAGGATGATACAACACGCGTGACGGAATTGTCGACAACTATGCTCGATGGCTAGGTGGATCATGCTGTATGGACGAGCATTCTGGCCGGCGGCTTCGCCTATGAGTCACACCTAGCGAGTGCGAACATAGCCGCTAACAAAGGTACGCCACTCTTTCTTTCCTTATTCCTGTGGCCCTTTTCCTGACAACAACATAAAACACACACACACACACACACCTAAAGTTTGCAGAAACCAGGCAATGTCGGATGCCTGTTCGAACTAAATATGTCTCGACGGGGGGTTCCCTAGACAATACTATACCGAAAGGCCGTCGTAGATCGGTTCTCAGTGCTCTTAAGTGGAGGAACAACTCGCATTTCCTGGGAATAATAATTACGTTCAGGGCAATCGCATGATGATGCGCTCGGCTTTACACAATCAACCAATTAAGCCACGCTCGCATGTAAATCAGCTCATTTTGAAGCAAATCCTCGAATACCAACATGCCGAACGCGCCCCTGCTTGCCTTGTGCTGCTTGTAGGCCTTGCCGGTAAGTGAAAACACATCTGCGCGCCGCTTCATTAGCGACATCTGATTTGAATATCACGAGCGCACGATGTGGTTGCCGGTAAAATCCGATACCGTTACGGAATAAGTTGGTATTCAGACACACAAGGATAGACGGAATGTCGACAGCAGTTTGCGTCCCAAAGGAAGAAACGTGGAAATCTCATTACGATATTCAACGCTAGTGTCTAAACTGTCAATTTATTTTCTCCAATGACATGTTCCCCGTTCTACGTGCAACAAACTAGCAGACCTTTGAATTCAGACGCGTAGTAATCATTGTGCTGGGACTTGAAGCATCAAACAACATTATCCGATTTTTTTCTCAAAATTGCTTACAAATTCTTTGTTTAAACTTTGCTCAGAGGATGCAAAAAATGCAGCTAAAAAGTCCTGGTCCTTCGTTAAAATTAAATTTCTAAAAATTGCCAAAAAGTTCAAAATTTCCAGCCGCTTTTTCCTTTCGAGAAAACTTTTGTTGTTCTAAACCGTTCAATTTAATTTTTCCAATGAAGTTCCCCGTTCTACGTGAACAAACTGGAGACTTTGGAATTTCAGACCCGTAAATACTCATTTGTGGGAGGTACATTTAAGCATAACAAACATTATCGATTTTTTCTCAAAACATGTTACAAATTCTTTGTTTAAAACTTTGCCCTCGAAGAGTGCAAAAATTCGCGCTTTAAAAATGTCGCTGTCTTCGTTAAATTCTAATTTCTAAAAAATTGCAAAAGTTCAAAAAATTTTCCAGCGCTTTTCTTAAAACTTCAGTATTTACTCATAGAGTTTTCCCTACATAAATCTGTTTTGTTTACCAGGCAATGCGTAAAAAATGTTATCTGTTACGTAAATATACGGGAACTTTTTCTTGTATGTTCGTACCAAGATGGTACCAAAATTTTGTTACTGATCCTATTTTTGGCAAACTGTTTTCAAAACATGCAAAAATTAACTTTGGAACATGTGTAAAGAAAGGATGTTTGACGAGTTGAAAGATTGTATCCTGGCTTGCGGGTATACCTCAACTAGGTAATGCTCTATCCAGCGGACAACGTCTACAACCTCCCGACTTGCTCTCCCGCATGTGTGGTACTGCATTGCTAGTGTAAGGGGATTTAGAAAGGACAAGAAAGAGGAAGGAAAGGTCACGACCGGCCTCCGTTTGTTCTCAACCCCGCCTCCGACGCCATCCGCCACGTACTCGGCGCACACGGATCTCGCAGACAGCGAGGAATTAATTCACCACTCTCCCACAGTAAAAATGATGCACTACAACGTACGGGACTATGACAAGTAGCCAGTTGGACTGCGTCCGAATCACCAATCCAATCACTCCAAATTTTAACCAACACCTTCACTACTTTTCTTCTTCTACTCGTAGCCTCTCCCCCTACAACTACCTCCTACACGACCACCCGCCTCCAGGCCACGACGATCCGGCTTCGCCCCGCTTCGCCCCGCCTCGCCCCGTTCGCCCCGCTTCGCCCGCTTCGCCCCGCTTCGCCCCTTCGCCGCCGTTCGCCGTTCCCGCTTCTGCCCCGCTTCGCCCCGCTTCGCACCTGCTTGCTTCGCCCCGCTTGCCGTCGCCCGCTTGCGTCCCGCTCCCCCCTGCACCGCTCGCCGCTTCGCCCCGCAAGCGCCCCGCTTCGCCCCGCTTCGCCCCGCTTCGCCCGCGCGCAGCGCCGCTTTCGCGCCCGCTTCGTCCCGTTCGCCCCTCGCCCCGCTTGCCCGCTTCGCCCCGCTTCGTCCCGCTTCGTCCCGCTTCGTCCCGCTTCGCCCCGCTTCGCCCCGCTTCGCCCCTCGCCGCTTCGCCCCG